GTGTGTACGATTGATACCTTGTAGATCTCTCCGTCTTGTGTATGTATACAGTATGCAGGGGCGGATCAAGGGTTTAAAAGAGGGGGGGGGGGCTAAAATGTTTAAAAAAATCCCCCAAAATGAAAGGGGGTGGGGGTCATCACCCGGGAAATTTTTGATTCCTAGATGGCCGGAAATGAGATTTCCCGACTTCTGAGGAGTCTTTTAATGACCTTTAAGTTCTACAAAATTCAAGGTTTTCCACCTCTTGAAAAAACTTCAGGTAATTTTATCTCATTCTTTAGGCCTATCATAGAGGGGAAAAAATGTAAGACAGGCAATATATTAGTATATTCCAACAACATTGAGTAGTTAGATATGTAGTCTTTCTTCCATGGATCGATGAACCTATAGGCCTGAAGAACTCACTTTCGTACATAAATTATTACGACCAAAAACAGTGTGTAGACCTAGGCCTATAATTTATTTAATTTAAAACTAGTTGGGCAAAGCCTAGATTGTCTGATCTTCCACGTAGGTTAGCATGTTTTTTGTAAGGCAGGACCCTTGTATTTTGTTACATTTCTTCACAGAGGGGGTTCGTCCGAACCCCTTGAACCCCCACCCCTTGGATCCGCAACTGGTATGCATAGATGGAGGGTCTGGACCGCGTCAGTCCCATCATGTTGAGGCTGAAGTGGGAGGAATTTGTGATTGCGGCGCCTCTGGATGGCCCGAGGTGGCCTTCTCACACTTAAAATTTGGATTTTCACTCCTTCTACCCTATTTTTTCTTAATTTTGAAATATTTAGTTTAGAGGGACCAGGCAAGCTTCCTCCTCCTTTCCTTGAATCCGCCACTGTATGAACTTTTTAACACGTTTGATTTTATTTTGCTGCACATGGGTTATACACGTCGGTACTGACTTCCGTGAGGATATTGAAAGTCGTGAAAACATGCAAAATTATGAATTTGCGGAGATGGGTCAATTTCCGAGAGATTCTTGCTTGCTTTCGGGAGTGCGGCAGGCCGTCCCGATTTCCGGGAGACTCCGCGAGTTCCGGGAGGCTTGGGACCCCTGAAAACGCAGTGTTTAGACCTATGTCAGCTTTGACCAGAGTGTGGCAAATATTGTAGACCTAGATTGTTGATTTTTATATTGACTAACTCCACTGACATATTTTTGTAAATTGATCCACTGAGATCTGAAATGACCAAATCATAGTTTGATAAGGTGCATTCCCACTATACCCCCTGAAATGTTCGCAAACCAAGGTTCATCTAAGAATACAGTACCGGTAGTCTATGTTAGTAAGTTGCCAGCATTTGACCGCTACGACAGGTGTTCTCAAGTATATTGCAATAGGGGCCAAAATCGTTCATTGAATAAATATGACGGGCTAGGGCAAGTGGTGTACTAAGTGGCGCGTAGCGCCATTCGAGCGCCTCAGGTTCGAGCCGGGGGAGGGTTTGGGAGGGGTGTCCCCCTTCCCGAATTAGACTTCTTTTTAATAATAAGCAGCTAGAAGCTCAGAGCACATTGACCTAAGAAAGTTACCCTTTTGTTTGGTAATGCAAAAGGCAAAATGTTATAACTGTATATCACACAATGGGTCATCGGTAATACAGTATTTCTTTGCTGTTTACTGCGATAGTTCTTCCAATTTTATTGATTTAAACCGCTACAAATCGTGCGGTAATATACAGGCCTAGTCAACAAAATAAAATGCAATATTATTAAGGTGAGCAATCTATGCCTAATCATAATGGCAAGATATTATTTTCGGTTTATTCTTGCGGGCCGCATAACACGGACTCGCGGGCCGGAGAAGGCCCGCGGACCGCCAGTTGAGAACCCCTGCGCTACGATTAAGTGCGAAAACCTTGGTAGGTAGAAAACACGGAAAGTTTTACAAGGGGAAATTCCAGTCACTTTTTATGTAAAGATAAAAGCAAATGTAAACAAGGTCTCTGACTCTTTCAGAGCTGAAAAATTAAACTCGCATTCTTCACTCCAGGGAGGCGATATCAGCATTCCTCTCTCATCATACCCTTCCTAAGCGATTCAGTTGGGTTTAAATAGACATTTTCAAACAGTTACTAATTACCATTTTTGTTTTATCATCGTGTCGTGCTAATTTAACGAATGTCAAGTGGCATTATAATGACCCGCAGCGTTTTAGGTTTGTGTTCGCTTGACCCTGGGTCAGAAGGTAACGGCTCGCTATGATTCTGACAGTTTCTTCTTTTGTGACTTAATTAACAGCCACTTTAAATGTTTATTCTAAAGTAAACACATGTATGTTGACAAAGAAATTGACATAGACCTAGATATTATAGGTCTACTTTAGTACGGTACACATTTTTTTGTTTTGTTTTTTGTTTTTGTTTTATAAGAACACATTTTTTAAGAACACTGAGGCTGAAATGGCTGAAAAAATAAGAACAAATTGAGGCTTTGGTGTGAAATGTCAAATGAATTCTCACCTGTACAATGTAAGTTTCTATGTTTGAAAAGCGTGTCAAAATAAGAACATTTCGAGCTTGAAATTGCGGCTGAAATGGTTTAAAAATTAAGAACAAATTGAGGCTTAGGTGTGAAATGTCAAATGAGTTCTCAGCTGTACAATGATAAGTTTCTATGTTTGAAAAGCGTGTCAAAATAAGAACATTTCGAGCCTGAAATCGGAAAAAACATTGAGTCTGGGCAA